ACAGCCCCACTTTTTTTTAGCCCCTGCAGCTTCTGATCTCCTCCCTCCCCCAACCACTGGGGCTGGAGATGTTAAATAAGGCAGGGGGGAGAGGACCAAGCCTGCTGGCACCCCAAAAAGTAGGACCCTCAGCCTGAACCCAAACCCCGCATCAACGCCGACTGGACCTGGTACCAAAGGAAGGAGGGGAACCAGCACAGCCCCTAATTCGGTCCATGAGGGTTTCTTGATGGGTGGGATTGAATGCCGCTGGTTGTGTGTGGTAGGGAGAAAGAAAAATCTCACCAAAATAAGTGGGGGGGGGTTTCCCCCCCAGTGAGACCGGAAGAAAAGGGCATGCTGGTCTACCCAACTATGGGACGGAGGGTTGACCGACAAATGCGCGCTCGACAAAAGCGCACCGACGAAACCGCGGCAAGAAAACAGCGAGGTCGAAATCGTGCCGACAAAAGCGCGCCTTCAACAAACAACTAATAACAACCTAATAACCCTAATCCTAAACCTAACCCTGAACCTTACCTTAACTTAAATCGCGGTTTTGTCGGCGCGTTGTTGGTGTGTTTATGACGTCGCGCTTTTGTCGGCACGCTTTTGTCAAGTCACGAGGACGGAGAGTACCGCTTTTGCCTTTCAGCCCCAATCCAGGAGCTTTTGCGGCAAAGTATTTTTTATGCTGAATTTATGTTTTAACCACAATGAAACAAAGGGAGTAGCCCGGGTTCGGATCCCAGAAAGGGTGGGGCTAGCTAGCTGACGGCAGCTGAATAACTTGAAATCGATCTATAGTAGTCTCTCCTTGTTTCTTTGTCGGTCAAATATAAATTCAACGCAAAAATCTCACCATCCTGCCTCTCCAAAATCCAGGGAGAAAGATAGGAAACCTGGCCACACGTACACACACACACCCCACCCCAATTTTTGTTTTGCATCGTGTGTGGAAGTGGGGGGGGTGTCCCCTCTCCCTCCTAGGTCTTGTCCCCCTCCCCCTCTTCTCTCCCTCGTCTCTAATCCCGAGCAGAATTAGGGACCGAATGAGCGTCCCCTTCACTTCCTCTGCTCCCTCTTTAATAAAACCGTGGCTTCTGTCTTTTAAGGCGCCTTGAAGGCGGACCACACCGAGGTACTTCTCTCGGCTGATTTCACCGGAGCCATCAAAGTCTTTATCAACAAGAAGAAGAATCTCTCTTGAAGAGCCGCCGGTAACTCCGCAACCTTGCCATCATGGTACCCGAGTGTGAATTTTGTGCTTGGTGACGCAGCGTATATAATCTCGCGCTGGAGGTTGGCTTAGCGTTCAATTCCTTCGTTTAAGGCTGCTGCACTTGGAGCGCCCGAAAAAACCAGCCTCTCTCTCTCTCCCTCTCCTCCACTCCTCTTAAAGCCCCCCCACCCTCCCCACCGCTTTTTAGATTAGAAAGCGAAGAGCGGCCAGCAGCCTCTCTCAAAACGAGACAAACCAGCCTTCGCGGTTTCTGAATAATTCCGCTGCTATGTCGATGCGCCCGGAGGCGGAATAATCTCGCACGAAAAGTACGGCGAAGACATTTGCCCGCAGAGATGTTCCTTTCGGGGGGGGCGGGGAGTCACCCAGGAACAGTTTTGCACAGGTGAAAAATTTAGTTGATTCCGTGGCCGCTACACCCCCCACCTCCGATACTTTGCAATTGCACACAAAGTAAATGCCCTCCCCGCCCGCCCGGAATCCCGCCCTCTGCAAAAAGCGGATCTATTTTTTAATTTCCCGTAACCGAGCTGCATTTCTGGCCAGAACCTTTTAAGTTCCGTGAGATCGATCCTCTCTCTTCGAATCCTGACCCCGCAGATGGATTTAGCGGCAATCTCGTTTCGGTGTTTTATAACGTGGACTTCTGTGGTCTTCTCACTGTTGTGCCCCCCCCCCCCGGCCCCCGATTCTGTTCTGTTCCCCTTTTTTTGCACACTGGAGCACAATATTTCTACGAAAGAGTTTTCTCATTCCTTAATCCCCAGGCACAGGGGGGATATAGTACGTTCACTTTAAAGCGACTTAAAAAGCTGCATTAGGAACAATTCTTATATTTTACAAGCGCTGTAAAATAAAAAAACTGTTTACATATTTTTAAAAAAAAGATACTGTAGTTTTAAGTTTTTGTTTTTTTGTTATCCTTGTTTAGAGTTAAAACTGAATTTCCAAGGCTTTGTAAATATTTGTAAAAGAAGAACCAATGACGCAACCTTTTCCGCAGGGCTGGGGGTGTGAAAAACCTGCAGGAAAGGTTGTTGAGGGTGGCAGCTGCTTAAGAAAACAAAGGATGTGTTATTAAAAATGGGTCACACTGAGAAAAACATTGGTGTTTGTATTTTTCTTTTTAATCTCTCACACACATACAAGAGAGCGGGATGAAGGTTTCTTGCTTGGCTCAAAGTTGGTCCATTTTGTTTTGTGTTTTCCATCCTCCCCAACTTGGGGGGGGGGGGGGCTTTTTCGGGTTTTTCCAAAAAGCATCACCTGGACCAACCTGAGCAGAAGGGATGCCCAGCTCCCTTCCAGGGGGTTTTGGTACCCCCTGACCCAAAATGAGCCACACCTTCCCTTGCAGCCTCTGGATAGATACACCTACGGGACGTTTTATTTTTTGGGGGGGGGGAGGGATTT